GTTTACCCCTGATTCTGCCTGGGATTAAGCCGTACTCCTGGGAGCCACTGGGCTTCCTCGAGGGTGGTACCACAATGGATTTGGTACTGAACATGCACAACGGAGTTGGTATTGAACATCAAGAATCTCATCAACTACCTTGAAAAAGACGTGTGCATAAATTTCTTCTACAGAAGCACCGGCAATACACAGTACTCCCTTATTTCTGGCTTTTGTGGTTTTTTTTTTTTCTTTCACAAATGACCTGTGACTATGACACATTCTCTGCTTTTCTTTCTGCATTTGCAATGTATAACCATATTTTACATGCCCTTTCTGCAGCACTACCAGCTGCTGCTTTGGTTGAATTTAATTTTAACACACCTCCCAAGCAGCACGGAGATGGTGAGGGTGAAACTTTAATTGCCTGTCTGTGTTAAGCAAGACAGTTAAAAATGCAGTTAAAGCACATGTTCAACAAGAAAATATGGTCGGTTTGATTCCAGTGGTATGAAAGACTGCTTTGGTCTCCTGGGCGGAGGAGAAGTTTAAGAAAAACATCTGCATGGAGTTTTTGTTTCTAAGTCTAGAGACTATTTGTGCCTTGGCTGAGTCTGGCTGCAAGTCCTTGTAGGAAAAGAAGGCCTAACAGTGAGCAATTACCTTCCTTTGATCAAAACCTTCTAGTTAGCTAGTCTAAAATAGAGTGGAAATTTTTTTGTGAACCTTACTCCACTGAAGGATGAAAAGAGGTTTTCCACTGAAAACACAGAACAAAAAGCAGTCTTTTTAAACATAAAATTTTATGGAAAATTCTGTGACCATCTTCATGTAAAAATAGTTATTCTGCTTTCCCTAAGACTTCAGATCATTCCCTTCTTTTCTGTTTCTTTATTCTTATTTGTTTCCAGTGGACATAAACTAGTTAGTAGCAAAGGACAATACTAGGCTTTCCCATTTCTTACAGAAAGAAAAGCCTCTGGAAAATACAAGATATAAAAATTAAACTTGCCCTGGAGTTGGGCTGGAAATTCAAACATAGTGACTCACAGCAAATGCAAGATCATCAAGAAGTACCAAGGTCTATGTAGTTATTTCAGAAGGTGAAACCTACTGCTTTAAGTTTCACCTATACACAGGCACGTACAGTTAAACAAAAAATGTCCATGTAAAACATCCAATGAACAGTGACCTTTAAATCACTCCAGGTTGCTGCTTCTCTGTGAAGAAATGGATTTCCCCCTCTGCTTTTTGGGATTGGTCCCCAGCTGCTGATGGGGTATTTCAAGTTGTTTTTCAGAAGTTTCTGCATTCTATATTCTGGTCTAAAACTCCCATCACTCATCTCTTACTATGCCATAACCTACCTTTTTTGGGTAGCTGGAGCCATTTTCAAGACCTTGGAGGATCACTATTGGCAAGATTGTTCTCTGCACCTTCATTCTAAGTGTTTTTAATGCCCAGCTGCTCATCCAAATGCATTTAGGAGCTTTGAAATTCAACTGCTATACTATTGAGCAGGTTTTGAAACCTTTTTTGGATCACAGTAGCTACAGCTTTTGCTAAGCTTCTCCTTCATCTGTGTCACAGCTGAACTAAGATATTGAGCATTTTCTCTTTTGGGTCATCCGTGAATCTGCAAATTTGAAGTGCTATAGGAGAAACAAACTCAATTAGCAGGATCTGCAAGGCTGATCTCATACAAAGATCTGGTTAGCATTTTGGGCTGCAGATAGCTGCCGCTGGGAACCATCCAGCCAGATACCTACTGGTGCTACACTGAGCTCTCCCTATTCCTGGAGACAGGTGCCCCGGATTCCCTCCACTTGTATGCCCTACTGCTTTTCTTGTTATGGAAGATCCCTGAGACCAACCTTGCTACAGTTTCTTTGAGAGATAAACACTTTCTCCTTTACTGTCAAACAGGTATTTTAAAACTGATTTTTTAGTCCGCATACTCACAGACACCTAGCCAAACTTCCTTCTTTTATTTCTAATTTCAGCAATGCTGACTAGAAGATCTGGCTTCTTCGGTGTTCTCTTTTACCCCTTTAATACTTCACACCTCTCGCTAAAGCCTTGTTTTCATTCCCCTCAGACCGGTATATGCCAGTAGCCAAAGAGGATGCAAAAATGTCAATCAGTGTCTCAGACTGACAATTGCATTTAATTACCTCTGACCCCCCCAGCCACAGATGTTTGGAATAATGATTCAGGAATTCAACAAGGTTGTCCCCAGGTGCCTTAGGGATAACCAGAAGTGCTGTAACATGGCTTTCAAAAGGATAGTTCAAATAAGCAGCCAAACTAAGCATGAGTCCTGAACCAATAGAAGTTTGCCTCTCTTGCTAAGTGTTGTGAACTATAATTCTCCACGTTTCTGGAGTGCCTTCTACTTTAGGACGCATGACAACTTAAGAGAGTTCAATTGACTCTCAACATGCCTTTCATAAGTATTATTTCCAATTCACTGGCTAAGAAAAGCACAACATAAAACATGAAGCCATTGTCCAAGTGCATAGCAATAAAGAGAAATTGCTGAAATAGCTCTCCCCATTTTATGAAAAGTACAGCTTCTGTACCTGCCAAAAGTTATTGTTGTGATTTTTTTTTTTTAATTCATAAATGAGTCAGCAGCATTAAAAAAAAAAGGTGGGAATTTTTTTTAGTGGACTGTCAATAGATATGGTCTGTCTCTTAAAAGGGAAGTTGAAGAGAAGGGAAAGTTGGAAAGTTTTCCAACTGCATGTCAGTGTTTCTCAGAGATGCTAAGATAAATCCATCACCTTCCAGAGATGCCACTTCAAAGGTAGTTACAAACATGCCCTTAGAAGCTACAGGAAATTTAGTGCCTATAAAAAAGGGAGGGGTGGGGGACGCCACTACCAGCAAGCAAACAACTAAAACTGGGTCCTAAGTTACGACATAAAAAGTGTTCTCCATAGAAGTAATTATTTACAACTACATTCCAGACCTGCTGAAATAAGATGACCATTCCCAAAATAGTCTTTGTTGGATATCAAATTACTAAAAATACACAGGGCATTTCAGTAAGTGTTTTGTTCATCAAGAAAACTGATAAACCTAAGGGCTTCATGAAAGAGAAATATCTTTGCTTCTTCCCCTGGGGGAAGGGGTAGCTTTTCCTACACGTGTTGTTCCTAGAAAGCCATGTGTTTATTTCAGAGGCAGTGTTGGTCCATGTTGTGAGCCAATGTTGCAAGACTGGGAGCTGATCATGCCTCTCCATATGCAAAGCAATGGCAGCTTCCCCTCTCCTTCAATCAAGGCTGGGAAAAGGAAGATGTGTATCCTCTGGAAAAGACATAGTGAATTTGCAGAGTCCACACAAGATGGGTCTATACTGGGGAATGTAAAGAAACATTTCCAGTAGTCCAGCGAGTACCATAACAGTAGCAGTGATGCTGCAGGAGCCCTAACTCAGAGAATACTCTGTCAGTGTAGTCAATGCATTGATGTCCTTTGAGCAATCAATCTTGCTGCTGTCAGTGGAACTGCACCAGAATTTGAATTTAAGGTTGAAAAAATGCTTAAGAAGGTATGCAGTTTTAATTCTTATTTGTCCTATTTTATATCTTATTTGCCTAAGAATGTTGTTTTATCTTTTAGGTAAAACTAATAACAAAACAATTAAACCCATTTCCTTCTTGTCTAGGTCTAGCACAGCTTAATGCCTCCATATTGTAGTTTTTCGGTTGTTTCCCTATAGCATTTATGATTACCTCACTCTTGCATTGCTCCTCTCCTGGATGGTTTAATTTGTTAGTACATTTATTTAGAACCAAAGATACAGATGATATTGAACAGGGAAACACACAAACACACGGCTCCAACCTTGTTCCAGATAACATGCAACACTTTCTGATGGTCTTTGCAACTCTATCAGAAGAAAACATGCACAAAACATGACTAAGATATTTCATGTAATGCTTTATGAATTGCTTTACAACTCTTTAAAAATCAGTGCCGATTCTTCTTCCTGAGAGAAAGACTGGACCTCATCACTGAGAGACTTAAGAAAATTAAGTGCTGAGGGAAGATTTACATGAGGACAAGGAAGCTACCCTAAATAAAGTGTCCAAAAGGACATTTAGATTGCATTTTACACGTCTTGAGGAGAGGAATAAGACCACACCTCCTCCAAAGAGTTCCAAAAGGATTTGCACATAGGTGTCACGGAATGCTTTGAAACTACAATCTTCTGTTAATCTGCGCTCTACTACTCCGTTCCCCTGAAGAGGAGTTTTACAAGCCTGTTGTAACACCTTATCAAAAGCTTCATTTCATCTGAAAAATTGACTACATGCTTCTTCATTGAACTGTCTCAGCAGAAGGGTCCTGAATGTTAGCATGGTTTCCTCTAACAGCAAACATTTAGCACACAGACAAATATAAAAAGACAAGCATTTCAGAAGAATTCATCAAAAGATAAAAAATTTCTGTGCACGTGCACAAATATACATGTAATAATACATCTAAGATGAGCTTTGCCACTATAGAGCGGTTCAAGAAGATTGTGCTACAATACTTGCCCACAGAGAAACAGCACAGCTCTTAGTGAGGAAGAACTCTTCCAACTTAAACTGAGAAGTTCCAGTGCAAGGGTCCTGCCTGCACGAAGGTATCAATAAACTAATCACAAAAACCTAACCACAGCTAAACAAATGTTATTTGACCAATTACCAGCTGACACTCTGTACATGCCTCTGTACAGTCAAGCTCCTGGAACTGAAACACAAGAATATTATTTAGCCAAAAACGGACTCACTGTTCCGAACAGCTCATAGGCCTGTGGAGTCCCTTCCAAGCTTAAGAGCCGGAAGTCACGCAGGGGCTCCCTGAAGCAGCATTTATCTGGTCACACACATTTAGATGACAGCACTGTTGCTCTCATTAGGACAACAACTTCTGGTACTGACAAGTGACTCCTGCAATGTTATTCCTTGCTGAAGCATCTCAGTTTTGAACGCTAGGGATTGAAAAAAAATGGGATATTCTCAGTAGAATAATCAGCTATTTTTTTAATTGATAATTCATATATACAGCCTGTGGAACTCTGTGCAAATGGATGTAAACAAAGAGCTTCATATAATACAGTGCCTTTTGGATTGATCTCACAGTTACTTATATACACAACGGCATGAATTGCTCAGTGCAATCCCCTCCTCCCATGTCTGTTCCTGACACTGGATTAAAAAATAAGACAGTCCAGCCTGAGACTTCTTTTTTTTTGTGCAGAGGCACCAAAGTAGGCTTGCTCAGTCACTCTCTCTTGAGACGGAGAGCCTCCCGCCGTTGCTTCTGAACAGTCCTGGAATCTTCCCACAGACGGGGTCCTCTGATGTTCTCCCAGTTATCCAAGTCAGACTTTTCCAGCTTCTGCAGATAAACAGCAAAAATAACAGTGTCACCTTGACAGCCCCATGATTTAAAGTATGTATTATTCTAAATTGTTTTCTTTTTGCACGAGAAACTCAGTATCACTATTGGGTTGATGAACTTTCACCTACCCTACAAAAGAAGTTCAACAAGGAAAAAAAATTTGGGAGTTATCCGTATAGCTACATAAATGACTAGGGTGGACCTTACTGCATCTGCTTATCAAAAGATAAATAACATGTAGGACAGGAAGCGCTACAGCATCTGAACACCACTGAAGATACCTTGCATTCACTTTTTCTTTCTTCTCTCAGCTTGTTTTCCAGATCTGTTCTTCAACTGCAAGTCTGCCAAGTACTGAAGTAGTAGGAATGATAAGCATTGGTATAGCTCAAACAGAAGATTAGTAATTAGTAACCTGAAAAATCCCGTCAGCACAGATACAAAGCATACTGGAAAAGATGAATTATCTAGCACAAAGAGAGACAGTAACAGTGCAATCCCCTTCAACGCGTGTGGTTTTAACTTGAGAGAGGTATGTGATGCTTTCTGCTGCCGAGTTTCTCATGGCACCGAACCATCACAGATAGGGGTCTCACTAAGTCACACATGAGATACACTAACTGATCAAACTGTCAGATACTTAAAAACTATCTAGATTTTATTTACCTTCTTGCCTATTCCTATCATCCCCACTCAGAAGTACCAATGACTGCAGTATTTATCTAGCCTTAGAGGCGCACAAAAATGAAGAACAGGCGCCCTCCTGACCTCACCTACCAAAGTGCTGCAGTTGAAGAAGACAAACATATACTGCCCCTTCACAGTCCTACTGGCAGAGACATAGAAGTCCCTTCCCAGCAGACACAGACCTCAAGTCACACATACCAGCCTGCAGTCTGCAACGGCACATCAGACACGATGGGGCTCTGCCAACAGGAGACTGAGGAGGGAGTCTGCACCACTGCCAGAACAGGGCTATTCTACATGCTACTGAAGAGGGCAATACTGCATACCATTAATGATACGTACTGCAGTGGGGCTTAAACCTCTGATTTGTGATCAGGGCCTCATCTCAGCAAATGCTGTAAAAATACACCAGAAAATACTTAACCCTGCCCTGAGCCTGTGGTCTAATTTGCCTGCCATCAATCATCCAAATAAATGGCAAATAGTGAGGGACTTGAATAATAGTCACAGAATAATTCAACAGCTAGAACAGAAGAGACCTGCTGCTATTAGTTCATGTTATGTAGAAGTTTTCTGCCTGTTCTACAATTGAGGAAATTGCAATGAGGTTAGTCAGATATCAAAAGAAATTAGGCAACGTTCAACAGAAGATATATGAGAACACATGCACAAAGAGCAGACTTTCACAAGGCAGGAGCAACTGAATTTTTCATACAGTGGAGTTGGCATAGGTCTTTCTGAAGAATTGTCTTCACTACTTTATACATCTTTTGATTAGCTGGTACTTCATTTCAACTGGAAGGGATCTGAGCTGACATGGAAGGAAGGAGAAGGAGGAAAGGCACCCATCACCCCACGCAGCAGCAACTGTCCACTCTGATTGCAAATTCAGAATTTAAAATCTGATTCTAATGGAATCTTCAAGGAAACTACACTGAAAATAACCTTGTGCTTTAGTAGAAGGGAAACATGCTGATTTTATTAAACACAAAGGTTCCACACAGCTGTGAGGATCTAAACTATTCCCAAAGGTGCTCAGCTCCCAAAGTCTGAACAAGAATCAACATTTAACATCTATACAACAAAACTTGTAGTATCTAAAGATAGGCTACATAAAGAAGTCTATCAAAAGAGACATGCATACTGTAGATCTTTACCAAAAATTCATATTAATCTGCCCCTGAAATTTCACAAAGGCTTTACAGAGAGGACGTTTGTCCAAAACAGGAAATATTTCAAAACTATACAATCTAAACAAACCAGTACAAGAAAGTATTTTGGCGGTTTCCAATGGAAAGCGTAAAGGTATATGGAAAAAACACTCTGATATAGTGACAGAATAAAACAACCAAGGGTTATGTACAGTAAATGGCACTGCCTCAAACTATAGAACAGATGAGATCTATTGACAGAGTTAATTTCTGTCAATCAAAATATAAAGAATTAAAGATTCTAATGAATACATAGACTGTATTTTTATTTTTTATTCTCATTATATTTATAGAGATCATTAACATTTTGTGTCATATATAAAGATTGTTTTTGATACCTTGCTGCAATTCAAGAAGAAAGCACCTTCCTTACTGGCACATGACAGTATCTGCAAAAATGAGTAGTTTACGGGACACATATCTGTTCAGTCATCAGAAGGCAGCATGATTAGACAATCTAATTTTCTAAACTGATGCTATCAAGTTTTGAAAGGATAGAGGACTCCTGTTGCATGTGGATAAGCATAAGAAGGAATATCACTGGTGAAAGGGGACCCGAAAATCTGTTCTGCAATGCTTTCCTACTGTATAGCTATTTTCACATGTATCTACCTGTGCTGGTTTTGGCTGGGATAGTTATTTTTATTCACAGTAGCTAGTATGAGGCTGTGTTTTGGATTTGTGCTGGAGACAGCGTTGATAACACAGGGATGTTTTTGTTACTGCTGAGCAGTGCTTACACAGAGTCAAGGCCTTTTCTGCTCCTCACACCACCCCACCAGCGAGAGCAGGCTGGGGGTGCACAAGAAGTTGGGAGGGGACACAGCTGGGACAGGTGACCCCAACTGACCAAAGGGGCATTCCACACTATATGACGTCATGCTCAGCATATAAAGCTGGGGGAAGAAGAAGGAAGGGGGGGATGTTCGGGGCGATGGTGTTTGTCTTCCCAAGTAACCGTTACGCGTGATGGAGCCCTGCTTTCCTGGGGATGGCTGAACACCTGCCTGCCGATGGGAAGCAGTGAATGAATTCCTTGTTTTGCTTTGCTTGTGTGCACGGCTTTTGCTTTACCTGTTAAACTGTCTTTAGCTCAACCCACGAGTTTTTCTCACTTTAACCCTTCCGATTTTGTCCCCCAATCCCACCGGGGGGGGACGGGGACTGAGCGAGCAGCTGTGTGGTGCTTAGTTGCCAGCCCGGGCTACACCACAACACTACCTCACATACAACTAAATAAAACCTAACCTTTTTGCTTGGTCACTGACATGAAGATTCTTACAACAGTATCACCCCAGAATAAATGACTACATTAGATGTAGGCCAAAGACACGTACATAGCTACATTTTAAATGAATCTTAGTGCCGAGAAGGAGACCAAACTGACAGTCCTTCTATGGATTAGGTGCAGCACAAGCTGCAAAGTTACACAGCTCCTTCAGATTGCCTGAGCTGTACAGTGAGAATCCAGGCAAGCAGCTAGTTCTGCTCCCAGATGAAGTCAACCTCTTTCATTCAAACTGGTTGGGCCTTTTTAATTTCTTATTTTATTTCTCTTTAGCCACCTGGACTCTGCCCACCTAACTTCATGGAGACATTACATAAAGATGGTAAACTACTTCCAGCTTTTGAAAGCCATATGATCCAGCAGTCTGAAAACCAAAAAGCTTTTTCTCCCAATTCAAGTGTACTAAATAGTCAGTCATTGGAAACTACAATGAAATGTAATCAGATCAGACCAGCACCACTATTCCTGCTTGTCTCAAATAGCCCAAAGGATATTGAAAATTAGCTGTTTAAAGTAAGATCAGTGTAGTACATTAAATCTACTGATTCACTTCCTAAATCAGCTAAACTGCCTCTTAAAAGTACTGGACTGGCAGAAGCTGTAAATTCAAGAAAAAAATGCAGCTATGCAAACAGGCACAGTGAGGAAAAAAAAAAAGTTAAACTGTTTGCCACACACTTGACTTTTAAGACTTTTGTTAAACAGCTTGCCTGGCGCAAAGGTACCGATAAGGATGTAAAGAGACCTTCACTTCTTCATTGCTGGTTCAAATGCCTGGCTTGATATTAAGTAAAAGCCATAATCCTCTGTCAGCCTTAAAATAAAATAAAATTTAAAAAAGAGTTTGAATTCTACTCTTGCAGGATAGTCTTCATGCCACAATAAACAAACTGAAATCTGCAGAAATTCATTTAGAGCTATTGGTGCTCAGGCCGAGTTAAATCAGGGTGGTCACTTGCAAAAAATGTTTGGCTTTAGTCTCTGTTTCCCACGTGTGAAAGGAGGGATAAGAAAATCCTGTTTACTTTACAGCTTGATGCAATAGCTTCTGTGATGAGCGCCACAGAAAGAAATTACTCTAATTCAGAGAGACAATTATTTCCCATCATTATAGTAAGCAAACCAATTTGCAGATAAAAGATGAACCAGGGAAGAATATCCTCATGGCTGAAAGATGTAGTGAAAGAAATGCATTAAACCAGTCTGGTTTTGCAAGGGTGTCAAAACAGCTTGAAGACCATAAAAGATACATTGAGGAACTCTATGATGACATATAGATGCAGAGGTACAGAATTAAGGCTAACACTGAATCTGCTGTCTTGTGTGTGACTGAAAATCTTAACTTTATCACCACACCGATACGGCCTTATTGTTTTTTTAACAACTCTTTCCCAGAGCCACCTTTTTGACATCTCATTTTCTTAATATAAACTTGGTGTTACTCACTTTGTTTAGGATGTGACATAATTTAATATCTGCAATTAGTGATTTAATAATCTGTGATTTAATAGCCCATGATTAGTGATTTAATCCTCAGATTAAAAAGAAGTATTTTTTCCAACTAGAGAATGTTTTAGTTTTTATGTTATTAGTATACAAGCAAGTCAGCAAGCAGCATACTATGACCAGAATAAGGGGGTTTTGTCATTAGGGGAAGAAATGGGGTTTTTTTTTGCATGTAAGCATTCAGAGAGCTGCTGCTCTTTTTGGCTTTGCGGAAGACTGGCAAAAACCACAATGATGAAACCAACAGAGGTTTTGTTTCTAACTTCAGTGGGATCCCATACCATTCACCTATGGCACAATTAATT